GGATTTAGTATGCATATTTAGGTATGTAAATAAAGAGACTGGGAGGTGGCTGGTTCCAGAAAAATCTGCTGATTTTACTGTGTAGCACTCCTGTGTCCATGTATCTCTATTGAATCAGTAGCCCAAATGTAAAGTTTCCAAGTTGGTCTCAACAATATGTCTTTTTTCCTTTTATCATAACACCTCAATGTCAGATTTCTAAAAGTGTAAATACTGCATATTTGTGTTTATCTGTGGATTTGAGTCACAGTACTTCAATGTACTGATAAAATCTAGTGTTTCATTGGATCAACTTTCTTTTAGAGTATTTCTTCATCATGTAGAGCTGCTGCATGTGATCTTACTTTAATTTGGACTTCAGTCTTCTGTGGCGACGTTTTGGGTGCCTGATGCAGTAGATTTTTTTTTCGGGCTTGGTTCCATCCTGCCTCGTGTTAAGGAGAGAGCAAGTAGCCCTTTTTTTGGGGGGGGGTGGCATGCTTCATCTTCTAAATTAGCCTCAGTTTAAAAAATAAAATAAAAGTGAGTACATGGAGTGCCCTAAGTGCTGATGCACTGGACTTCTCATAAGTGCTCGTGTTTTGCATCTGGAAATTACTTTACCTACTGAAGCCAGATAGTGTAAATACTGAAATATCAACTAAATTTTCAAAGCATTTGCAAAGTCGTAAGCACATGATCACGTGGCAAACAGCTCCATGAGGTGGTTGCTGCCATCACTGCCACTTCATTTTGCCCCCTGCTTTTGACTGTCACCTTTGTGACAAAAGGTGGTGGCATGGGATGCTCACTAGGCAGCCACCTGAGTGCAAGACTGGATGCTCTGACCAAAAGCTCCCATGAAGGTAGTTTGTCAGTCGCAAGCCAGTGACTGACATTGCAGATAGAAAGCTGGCACTGACATTACAGATAAAAATCCAACACCTGGCAGTGAAGTCATGCTGAGGTCACAGGGGGCTATGACAGCAATTGGAGAAGGGCTCAGGCTCCCAGAAGCTCCATCTGGACCTCAGCACCAGCTTGTCTGGTCCTTGCCAGCCATACTTAGAAGAGATTTTTGAGATGTTCAGAGCTGTGTAGAAGTTTATTCACGCCTTTGCAATCAAATTGTCATTAAATTATTGTTCACAGCAACATTCAGGTTTGGAAAGAGGTTTGGAAAGAGCATTAGACCTTGGTAGGCACGTACTGCTGGTCCTGACAGGGACACTGTGTGCTTTTTCCTCTGTTTATTTTGCAAGTTCTGATAAAACAGGGAAGCTTTTCTCCTCTCCTGGCAGTAGCCACCTGTGCTCTGTTTTCTTTTTTAATCATTGTTGGGCTTCTGCCCACATCTTGTTTCAGTGTTTGTTTTCTTAACCCTATTTAAAAGACTGCAATTCCAAGCTATAGGTGTTGCTTTCATATTTTTTCAGTTCAGTGGAAGTGAATAAGCTTTTCCTAATCAGTGATTATTGCATGCTCATTTGGTAACCACAAATTACTTTAAACCGCTCTTGAAGCCATTCATATTAACACCTATAGAGGAGCAGAACAGCAAAACTGCCACGGTTCATTTGCCAGGAAATGTTTCGTCTGGAGTAGCAGTGTGGTGGTTCTGTGCGGTCAGAGCATGCAGGGGAATGGGAGTGCTGCAGATATTCATGTTGGTCTGCATGTGATTGTGATTAGTCTTTGGCTGAGGAACACAGATTTGTGATGGATGTGATTTGCATTATTTCCTGTGCTCTTGGAGGTCTTCAGTGATTGAGAGGGTTTCCCCACATTGTGTTTTCTCATATAAATCTAGTTTAAACTCCCATGGGAGTCAGAACGCAACCCTAATTTGGTTTTAAATGAAGATGCTGTTAAACCTATCTCACAGATGTGCATCTTTTCTTACCTTAGAGAAGGTCCTAAACATTCTGAAGTACTGTTCGTAGAATGGTTGCTGGAAATGACATTTGTCACACAAAGCTATGAGCCATCTTCCAGTTCTGAACTGAGAGTAAAAGGCCGTGTTAATACAGTGCATTTGCCATTCATTCTTTGGGTCACTGTTTTTTTTGTTTTTGTTTTTTGTAACAGTTACACTGTGTTGAGTTCAGGCATTCATCAAATGCAAGCCAAAATGGAATCAGAATATTCTGGCTCAGTTTAGCTTGTTCTTTTATATATATATATATATATATATATATATATATATATATATATAAAAATGATTCAAAGTCATGGTTTTTGCCCCAGTTTTAGTGATGACAGTCGATTGGTGTGGGTCCTGCAAGAAATATAATTCATCATAATGATACAGTTAATGATTTAATCAAGGCTTATGCACTCTTACGTACCTTCGTAGGCAATTAGAAGTTTTTAATCCCTCCCCAAGAGACATAAACATTTTAAACATATTTTTAAGTTTCTGGTCAAGCAGTTGAAATTTAAGCTGTAGTTTAGGCTGTTTGGAAGACTTCAATCCATTTGGAAAGCATAGGATCACAATCATACTATCGCGGGATCCCAATACAGGACTCCTTTGATTTAGCTCAGATGATGTCTGTGAATGGAAACCCTGTGTTGATATTTTAATCTTCATCATTCAGCTCAAGCTTGTGTTGAGTGCTTGATTTTATGCCTACTATGCTCACTCATTTGTTTTCCTCTATAAACTGCTTGTCCCAGAAAGAACAAGCTATTTGCATGTGGTGTTATGGCACTGTTAACGTTTAGATTGTTCAGGTTTGAAGCCCTGAGCACTCACAGCATGCTGAACTGAAGGGCAGTTGGCTTACAAAGCAGAGTAAAGCCTCTTGTACTCAATGAACATGCTGCTAAAAAAAAAAAAAAGAATGCTTAATGAAGTCATCCCTTTCACAAACCAAGGAACAAAAATAGCACATAGCTAAGGGCATAGCAATAGCTGAGAAGTGGGGTTGAGTCAGTCATATGGGAGAACTTGGTTCTTTTCCTTTTTTGTATAACTTCCTGCAGTATGAGGCATAAGTCATGGAACTGTCATGGGCAAACAGCATCATGCTCCTGTCAGTGCAGAAGCTGAGTTTTAAGTGAACACACCCAAATTCTAGGTTTTACCGTATTTATGTCTCTTTTGGGAATTGTTCTATAGAGGGAAAAAGGATTGTGCCACAGAAACTGCTGCTTGACCTGGCCTGACGGGCAGCTGGGAGCAAAATGCTGAGCAGGTCTTGCTACCCAACAACACAGCATGGCTTCACCTTGTTGAGAGTAGAGCTGTTCACAGGGCAGGTCACCTTATCCAGTCTGAAAAAGTGCATGAATGCTTGGGTTCACCTTCAAACTGATGGGAAGTCTCACCTGTGTGTTGAGTGTGGGTACACTGTGGCTTAGACATGGCCTGCCAGGTGGGATGTGTTCTGTTGTCGCCTGGAAGAGCTGAGAATGTGTAACATCTTACCAGAGCAGGCTTCAAAAAGCAGTGCACAGCTGTGATGATGTAACTTCATCCCTATTTGGTCACAAACATTTCATCCTGCTTCCTTAAATCCCACACACTTTTCCTGAAAACATTTATTCTTCCTCCCTCTGAAGAAAGAATATCTTGAATCTGTGTTTATGTTGTTGCCATGACATTGATGTATGCAGTTGCAGATTCTGTTAATAAGAGAGAAAAAAAACAACTGTGTACTTCAGTGAACAAAGATTACTCTGTGTTTGTATTACAATGTTGCTATGGCAGTGCATATGGTTTTATTTGGTAGAAATTTGTGGTGAGATGGAAGGAAGTCACATGTATGGAAGACAAGAAATACAGCAAAACCAACTCAAAATAAATACTGAAACTGAAAGGAGAGCTGCAGATGACATGTAAAACCAGGAGAACACAAGGAGAGTTGTTTTGCTGCCTGTCTCTGTGGTCTGATAGCAGAAGCGTGTCCTTGCTGTGCCCTGCCTGGTCTCTCTGGCCCATCGAGCAGTGGCTTCGCTCCAGTGATGCTTTTACTGAGTGCTTCTTGCCCTCATTGGCTCTGTGCATCATAACATATTTTGTTGTTGTTGTTTTGAAAGCAAAATTCCACTGCCTTGGCCTGATTACCCAACTGCTAACTTTTCCTGCCTATTTTAGTACAGTAGACTGTTGAGCAGGAAAATTAATACAGTGGTAATATGTGGAAATAAGCTAGCCCCTTACCTACCCTTGGGGCAAAGGCAAGTCTTTCTGCCCTTTCTGGCTCCTGCTTGTGCTAGAAATGATGGACTTTTCTTTAATTGCGCAGTAGTCCTCATGTTTGTCTAGTCCTTCTGCATGAGGCTACTTTTTGCATCACTTGCATCAGGACAGCTGTTGGTGGTGTGACAAATTAGAACAAGTTAAAAATAATCTGCCAAAGAAGCAGGATAGAAGTGAGAAGGGAGAGTGAGTCTTAGTTTAGAGAATAAATTGCCACTGCGCTGAGAGCAGTGTGATCCCAGCTTATGAAGAAAGCAAAAGTATTTCTCAAATCACATTGTACTTTCTTTCTGTCATCCCACTTCTGTCACAAGAAGAAAGAAACTAGCATGAAAGCTGCCCATTACCTTTACACTCCTTGCTTCCTGGTTCTCTGCTGAATCCCAGAAGTTATCTATTTTTCCAGGAGTGCCTGTAGGGGATAGATAGAGGCTCAAGTGAGGAAAAGGTGTCTGAGGCACAGACATTCGGGAAAAAGAGCTGCCTGATGGCAAAGAAAGCTTATCTGGGAAATCCCCACCACTTTTGTAACTGAGTTCTGTGATCTCCCTTTGTTAATCCTTTTTCACAGTTTCTACTTTCAGCTGTGCTTGGGCATCCTTACTGGTTTTAACGGGGTTGCTCCACTGCAGTGCAAGTATCTACTTCTGTAGAGAAAAATGTATCTTCCTGTTTTAAGCTCTCATTAACAACTTGCTGAATTTATGGCTATGTTGTGTTAGTGTCGGGTCGTGTTAGATTTTATGAGATAATTAGGATCTAACCTGTTTGGTTTGAGATGCTCAAGGAACTCAGAGAATCAGCTGCTTTGAATCTGCTGTCACACTGGTCTCCATTTGATCAAATGTGGGAACAGTGCTCTCAAAATGGTGAACCACACTCTTGACTGTTTGACTGACATTTATAACGGGGTCTCTTCATTCCGGTTACTAAAACTGTGGCTGCTTTCACCATGATGGTAAGTTGTTGGTGTCTCTATCCTAGCTCAGTTCCCATTTGCACAGATCTGTGCACCCTGCCTACAAAAGTATTCCATCCAATGAATGAAAGCCTTGCAAGAGCTCGTGTGATGTTTCTGTTCTGGATGATTGCTATGTTCCATCTGGTAAGTGGTTGTACTTCAGGACAGATGAGGTTGCTTCTGTGAACGGTGCAACATAAACTGCGTATGTAGAATTTGTAGCTCTGTCGTTTTTCTAGGGAAAAAAAGAGTCATTGCATACTGGATACTATCTATTTGGTTTCTTGGGGTTTGGTCTTCACGGGACAGTACACATTGATGTTTATTGTATAAATTTGTTGACTGGATTTCTGGATTTCTATTTTCCATATACTGAATCTCACCACACTACAATGTAGCACAGTCGTTCGTTCGAGCTGAAATGCATTTATAGGTATTTCCTGAATGAACTGTATTGCTGTTTTCTCCACGCCCTCCCCTGTATTTCTATGTGCTGTTTTCTATGAGGGTATTTAACACCGAGGAAAAAATGGTGAAGATGAAAACAGGGACATGTCTGTGTGAAACACAGTCTGGAGGCAGATTGCTGGGACCAGTGCACAGCTGTGCCTCACTGTGGGCACCACAGGTAAGCAGTGCCACGAGCTCACCGAGGCTCCCCCCAGCAGCAGGAGGTGGGTCTGCTGCCTGGAGCATCCTGGTAGGTGTGGCTTTGCTGGAGCACCATAATAGCTTATATGGAGCTTATAGCAATTCTTGTGGCAGGCTCAGCACAGGTTAACTAGTGGCTGGCTGTCCGTGCCAGAGAGATGTTGGCTTTTCCTCCCATCTGCACCTCATCAGCCTCCCTGCTCATTCATGAGAGTGCTAGCAGAGTCCTGCTGGAGAGGGCGTAATGTAGTGAGGGAGCTCTGCTTTCTGCTGGCTCCTGCCTTTCATGTGCTTCCCATGATGCAGCACTGCAGGAAGCATGAAGTTAGTCTTCACTGTGTTGCCTTCGTCAGTAGGGAGCATATGTATATATTACATGTAACCCCGATAGTACAGCGGGAACCACCATCAGCCCCTTATAAGTGACTGCATTGGATAGAAGAGGCCTCCGGCAGTCCTAACGCTGCAGTTCGACAGGAGTTCCTTCTGGCGGCAGCAGCAGCCCCAGCAAAGCGCCGTGCCACGCTCCATCCTCGGGTGACCCTGTCCTCCCTCCGCGGGGCTGCTGGCTGGGGGCTGCTGGCTGGAGCAGCCGTGATAAGCAGCGTTTACTGAATGCTTACAGCTTCCATTTGTTGGTCAAGTTCCTCGTGCCTTGTTTGCAGATCTGTTAGTATTCATCATGAAGGAAGGATGTGGATGTTTTAGATTTTGACCAAGATGTGAAATCATATATGTGCTCATTTATCCTACCTGTAAGCCCTCCTGCTTACACCTGAACGAACTCCTCTTTTTATCCCAGATATTTTCACAGCAGTATCCAGTGTTGGAGCAGCAGGGACGTTTCAAAGCACGTGTGGAGGTGTTACACAAAGGGTGATGCTGACTCCTTACACCGTACTGGGAGTTGTGGGGTTGTCGTTTTGCCAAGTAACTGAAATACAACAAATGAAAAGAGAACGTCGTTGATGAGCTGCCGGTGTGAAACAGCTCTGGAAGATTCATAGTTCATTTTCCTCTCTTTATAACAGGGTAATTTTATTTAGTACATGTTACTACAAAATCTGCATGTCCTGCTCATGCAGCCCTTACTCTCCCACCAGAACTCTTCTTTGAGCAGAGATGACAGACGCACCTCTCTGCCCAATGGGACATGGAAAGCCCAGCACATAGGCTGCAAAACCTCAGGCCTGCACCTATAACCACATACCAGATGGGAGTAGGAGGGGCCATGTGTGCATGTATACGCTGTGTGTGTTTAGGCAAACAGCCTGTGCGTGTAGCATAGTGTAGTTATAGCTATGTGTGATTTGTAGGAGATCTGCATTAGGTCATTTTGAAGATAGGTGTTACACGGGTGTACCTGTAGGTGGAGGTGGCCCAGGCTGGGCAGGCAGCACTGTGTCTGTGCACAGCACATTCTTCTATCCATGCAGTAGCCCCGTGAGTAAATGTGATTTCCCAGCGAAAAGTGATGTAAGGAAGCGTTCAGTGCCAGATGTTACCAAAAAAAAACAAAAGCACTTCACTGTGTTTTACACTCTTGCTGTCAACAAGTATTGTACAGACAGGTTTAGGTGCAGCTAAGACTGGTGGCCAGGTGGTAAATTCCAAAACAGCTGAAGCTGTGAATGCCTCCAGGGAGAAAACTTGACTGATCAGAAGAGAGACAGCTGTAATTTTTTCACGCAAAGCATTAACTGCCAGCGAGATATTTGGCCATTTATTTTATTGAAGTATTTATGCCTAATCAAATGAGAAGTGAACTCTTAACCACTTACACATCTAACTGCACAGCAGTGGATGGCAATGCTTCACAATTCTAAAACCACACCATCAGTCGCTTCTTTATAGGAGAAGTGCTTTCCATAGTAAAGGCCACAGGAAGGGCTTATGCCAAAAGACTGGTGATGAGGAGGAAAAAATGGTGCTGCAGGTTTCCTTTCAGTCTTATCTGTAGTACAGCTTTATGCTAGCCAGCATAGCAGAAATGGTTCACGCAGCTTTCTCAGTTCCTGCTATAGATTATTTTTAAATGTCACTTTCTTAATTCACACCAGCTAGCTATCTTAGGACTCCCTTGGTTCACTAAATGTCATCCACATCCCTGAAGTGTAGTTACATATTAAATAAGTGGGGAGGGGAGACAGAGAAGGGAGAAGATTGGCTGCTTTGCCTTTTACTCTATTGGAAAAGTACTTGAAATTCCTCACATTCTTCTCCTGTTAACAGTATGTTTACTTTTCATCACTGGGTTATTAGGATTAACAAAAGTCATTGCTTCAAGCTCATTTAATTTGAATTTAGTGAAAGCCAACTGCCTCCTGCAGACTGTAGGAAACATTCTTCTTCCACAGAACTCCATTAATTTGCAGAAAGCAGCCACCAAAAATGTGAGACCTGCCCACCGCTTCCACCCCAGTGCTCAACATCACTGTGCACACACTGCATTCTAATGAAGTGCCTTATGTTGCAAATTCCAGGACAGTTTGAATAATCTGACAGACTAATTAACATTTCAGTCTCTCTTCCAAACGTTTGCTTTCAGTGCCAGGAAGCTTTCTCTGTATACACTTTCTAGTGCACAGGGTGACAGATTGCATATACCACTTCAAAATACGGTTTACCCAAAGACTCAGCTTACTCATTCATTGCTGTACCTGGGGTGGAGCCTGTTTTGGTTTCCAGACTACTCAAAGTGGTCCTGGAAAGGAGCTGAAGTCTGTTGCCTTTCAGGATGCTTTACTAAGAATAGTAAGGTAAATATTTCTTTATTAAATGATTAATTCCATAAATAAATTCTTTTAATTCATTGAATATAAAATTAAAATCATTTACAACTTATTCCAGTATTACAGGGGTTCAAAGGGGTTAAAAAAAAAAAAAAAGAAAACAAAAGAGCTACAGTTTGATAAATAAAATACTCAGCTTTAAAACAACTGATTTCTGTTTGCCATTAAACTACAGTTGGTACATAATAGCTGCCACTGTGAACACCCCACAAGTGCCCACCTCAGGAAGGAATGTAACTTCCAACTTGGTTGGGAAAGTAGGGGAGAAGATGGAGGGGAAAAGCATAGTGTTAAACTGAACAGGAAAGGAAAAGTTTTCATAACCGGAATAAAACATCAGATCACTTACAAACAGAAAACAGTATAAGATAAAGGTGCTCCAAAAAGAAGCAGTAAAGTTGCTCCAGTACTATGAAGCTTTAACTATGCTTAAATCTCTGTTGCATTAGTGTCCATTTGCACAGTGCACTCTTGTAATATCTCATATTGCCCTCAAATGGGCAAGGCACCATTTCCATCAGAGGTCCTTTCTCCATGGCTGGTTACTTCAGAATTCTGCTTAACATCCCACCCCAAATACCACTTAGTCCCTAAATTTGTGGATGTCATTGACCAGTCTGTAGAAGGGATAAGCTTCATTTGCATGCGGACAGTTGTAGTTGCAGCGGCAGGACTGGATCATCATGACACTCTTGGTGAAGGTTTCTCCATCATCACAGCGGAACCGGATCTTGACAGTCCTGGTCTGCTGGGGAGTACAGCACCTGCCATCCACACAAGACCCACAGTACTTGGGGCGGTACTTCTTCACACTGGAGCATCCAGCATAAGTAAACCTTACAGGGGATGGGGACTTCTTAGTCTTGGTACATTTTTTTCCTTTCTGTAAAGAAAAGACAATAACATAATTAGTGGGAGATCCTTGTCCAGCCTTTGCCCTCTACTTGAACCAGTTTGGAAAGAAGAGGAGCACCGGAGATGTTTATATTTACCTTTAGGGAGGCGTAGCTGGGCTGGCCACACGGCCTCACTTCACATATCCTGGTCTCCTTGATGAGCTTGCAGTCAGGATTGTCGTTGGTGACTCTGGTGGAGATGCCGGTCCCACATGTCTTTGAGCACTGGGACCAGGAAGTTGTTTGCACAATGCATTTAGGATTCTCAAAAGCTCGGCTTTGTGGCTCGGATCCAAAAACTGGAAAAGAAAAGGGGGGGCTTAGGCTATGTCTGCCTTCTCCCTGAGTTTCTTTCTGTCAATCTAAAGAGTCACACAGCTTCCCTCCCGTCTCAGCTTTTGCCGTCACACAGATCAGCGCACACTCACCAGGTAGCATCTTCAGGCCTCCCTTCACAATGGCAATCAGCTCGTTGTTCCTGGTCAGTTCGCCCTCGGAAGCGTCCAGACCAAACTCCTTGCTGAAGAAGCCCTCCAGCTCCTCCAGCGCATCCTTGCTCTCATCACAGACCCACTCCTCGCAGCACTGCCCAGGCACTTTGACCAGCCTGGGGCTGGGGCAGCCCAGGTTGGGGAGGGAGAGCTCCTGTGGGCAGAGCGGGATGCAGCCCACAGCTCCATCTATGCACGTACACTGGTGCTTGCAGTTGGGCTGGAAGCTTTCGCCGTTCTGGTAGATTTTGGAGTTGTATTCGCACGGTCTCCCCTCAGACTGTGCTGCAGAGAGCAAGAGAGAGAGAAGAGGGTGTCAGCGCCGGGAATCGCTCATTTAAAGACACATATTTTGCTGCTCTGTTAAATTCGGTTTATGGTAAAGTTCCCTACAGTCCCCCGGAGACGCGGGGCTAGAACAATAAGTTAGTCAGGAATCACTTTTCCTTATGTGCTTTTAGCGGAGCCCAGACATACTGAATCGCATTCCAGACTGCTGAAGTCATGTGCCTTTCTGCCAAGCTACCAACAACAAAGCATAACCATACATGGACTCAAAGTTACTAAACTCCGGCACTCCGCACCGCGCTGCGGGCAGCTCTTACCTCTGCAGATGCCCTTGGTGGCTGCGGGGCTGGCGCCGAAGTTGCACTCCAGCCCCTTGGTGTGGTCGCAGGGCTGCGTCCGGCTGCAGTCCTCGTTCAGCTGCTTGGCGCAGACCTTGCAGCAGCCGCAGCCGTCCGGCACCAGCCCCACGCCCGGGGCGCACTGCGGCGCGGCGGCCGGACACTGGCAGACGGCGGGGCACAGAGAGCCGAGAGCCTGCGGGGCGAGCAGAGGAGAGCGGTGAGCGCCGGCACCGCCGAGCCGTTATCCCCAGCCCTCCCGTAAAGCCCCGAGGGCGGCACTTACCAGGCGGGCCAGGCAGAGCAGGGCGGCCGCCAGCGCGGGGCGAGCTCCTACGGAGCCCATGTCTTAGCGGCGCGGAGCGAGAGCGGAGCTCGAGATGCGATCGCGAAGTGGGGCCGGCGCGGTCTGAGGCAGCGGCGGGTGCGACCGCCTTTTATGGGTCGCGGGGCCGCCGCGTGCGCCTCGGCGCTGACGTCGCGCGTTCCGGGCCGCGGCCGCGTCCAGCGCTCGCGGCATCCCAGGAATGCGGCTGGCGCGCGGCGCGGCCGCTCCGCCCCGCCCCGTCTCCCGGCACCGCGGCCGCTGGCGGCGGCTCTGCCGCGGGGGGTCACCGCGCCCGCCCGGTCCGGGCACCGCGCCGCTTTGCGGGGCTGGGGGCTGCCCGGGGGGCCTCTCCGCGTCCCGCCGGCCCCGCCCGCACCGCCGCGGACGCGATCCCGTTACGCGGGCGTCCGTGGGGGCCAGCGCTGCGCGGGGGCGCCGCTGGATCGGGCCACGGGACCGGAGCTGCGGGCGCCGAGCGGGACGGACCCCGCGGAGACGGCCTCTGGCTGCGGTGCCCCCGTGCTGCCCCCCTCGGGAGGACGCGCTCCCGGTAGCGGTTTCCCGGTGGAGGTTCGGGGCTGGGGCCGGGAAGGAGCGTTTGGGCTTCTGTTGTGGCGCCCTTTCTCTGCGTGGCCGTAAGTGCTTCCAGATGGGGATTCAGCCACCAGACGTAACAATATTTCCATATTTGGTATAGCAGTAGCCCGCATTTTTCACATTTTTCTGCTCTGTTATCCAACCGCAAAGCATTCTTGACAGCTTCAGATGCTGTTAAATATAGCCCTCGCTGCCGTTCCCAGGGCAGGAAATTCTCTGGAATTCCTGCTTTTCACGCAATCTGTCCATCATGATTTAGGAGCGCAGCGCCGGAGCAGCCAACTGGCGTTACCCCGCCGCGGGTACTGCGAAAAGCGGAGCTCCGTCCCGCGCTCCAGCGGCGTGACCGCGAGTCCCCATCGCAGGGATTCCTTACAAGCGAGACTCGTTCCTAACACCGGTTTGGGGTGGGCTACGGGGGAGGTTTTTTTTTTCTTTTTCTGTTGCCTTCGAGGATGGAGGTGGAGGCGCGCAGGAGAGCCCCGCGCAGCGGAGGGGTGGGGAGGGCGGGCTGCGGGCGCTGCCTGTCCCCTGGCGGGGCGGCCCCGCGGGACGGGCACGGCTGCGGGCACACGGGCGGCCGGCTGCTGTCCGCTGGGGGACGGCGTCACGGCGACGGACGGGACGAGCACGGCTTGGTAAGTCGGGGTCGGGGAGGTGCGCGCTGTTTGTTCGCTTTTGTTTTTAGCACCGACGGCCTCATTGGACCCCGCCGCAGAAAAGAGGCTGTTGTTGCCCGGCAGTTCTGCGCCGGGCTCGGCGTTGGTGGGCGACGCGGGCTGCCGGCGGGGCGCGGGGACGAGAGAAGGGGCTCGATGTGGTGCGGCCCTGCGACCGGCGGAGCCCCGACGGCGGCCGTCTGCGAGCAAGCAGCGCTCCGTTCGGCCTCGACGTACGGCCGCGTCCCCGGAGCGGGGCGGCCCCTCCGCCCGTACGGCCGCACACACGTGGGGGGAAAGTCTGAGGCCCGAAGTGGCGGCGGTTCCGCAGCGGGCGCGCGCCTCCAGACTCGCTGGAGAGGGAAATCCCGTCTTTAGTTACGCGCTCCTGAGAGTGCCGTGCGGTGCCACTGCAGGCGGCAGGAGTCATTGGTCGCGTTCGTTAAGTTGGACAGAGCCCACCGGCAGCTGAGGCGGCTACCAGTGATGGTGGTACCCGCTGCCATCCCCACCCCTCAGCTCCAGCTGCGAGTAGGAGGAGCGAGGCTCGGTCCCTGTCTCGGAGACTGCGCTTCCCTGGCTCCTGCGGCGGCGTTTTGGGCATGGTTCTTTTCTAACAGCCTAACGTTGCCTTTCAGGTGGAACACCCTGCAGGTGCTTTTTGTTCGAGGTGGCTCTACAGGGCAGCTTTGTGATCAGATGGAACAACGTTGTCATTCAGTGCGATTTTGTTACTGAAAACTTTGAAAAAGTTGAAGTGAGAAGAGCTGCTGCACCAGTGTGTGGTTAAATTGGACTGTTTTGCTTTTCAGGGATTTATGCAAACATTTGTCTATTTAATTACATCTAATTTAAGGATGTGCATCAAGCATTCTGCTTTGATCTGTGGCTTTCACAACATTCAGCAAATGCCACAGGAAAGCCAATGAATGGCGCTTTTCTCAGTTGGTTTCATGTCTTACCACACATCCACACAACTCTGATGGGAAACTGTAAACGAACCTGCATTTACTCAAAAAAAAAAAGGTCACTTGGAAAGCTTTGAAGCGCCTTTTGACAAACCTGTCCTGAATTTCAAGCAGCTGACAACATTTGCGGTTGGACCATGAACCTTTCATACACTTCCATTGCACACAGTTCTCTGTCACAAACTGTGACCTGGTGTTTACATCTCAGGCTGCTACTGTGTCTGCAGGTGTACATTGGAAGACAGGAAAAGGCTGGGAGCATTCATCTTATAGGTTTTGTTAAGCGTAACATCAAGTTTCAGACCTTTGCTGTCCTAAGGAAACTGGGAAATATTCCAAGTTCCATGTAATGAAGAGCATCTTTCTGTCTCCCAACTTGTGTGCTGTAGGCAGCAATAGCTGTTGGTCAGGTGAGGTCGGCTGAGAGTGTGGTTAAGCAGGAGTTCGGAACAATTGGTTAATGCACCAGATATTGCAGGTTTACCAGGTATATACTGTCATTTCCACAGGGCTTTATTTCCCCAGGGAAAGAAGTTTCTGGAGAGACAAATCAAGAAGAAACCAGATGAAAAACACAGTTTCTCTTCCTCCACGCGAGGTCATCATTCCATGGCCGTGTGCAGGGACTCTGGAGCAGTGCAGGCACTGAATAGGACAGACGGCCCTCCATGCAGCAGTGTGCCCAGTGGCAGCAGGCATCTGGCCTGAGGTAGAGAATATCAGAACTTTACAGTCACATGATTTCTGGGAAAGCTCTTACCAAAACCAGCATCCAACCCTTGCTTTTGTACTGTCTCTAATTTCCTCTTTCCCATTCTCTCTTTCCTTTGCCCATCCTTTGCTGGGCATTTCTTCCATCTCTTCTCCTCTTTCTTCTCCTTTTCCCTGTTCCAGGCTTTTTCCTGACGACCTTTCCTCTCCTAATGTTTATCTACCTTTGCTTGGGCCTCTCCTGCAGTTCCTGCCAGGCCGCCGGTTCCTGCTGCACTAAATCAGTTCTTCCAGAGTCAATGGCTCCTCTCAGTGACTCACAGGAGGTGCAAATCCAGCGGGGCAAATTAAGCATAGCAACATAGCAGCAGAATAGCCAGAAGGCTTCAGCAGCTCAAATCTAAGTGGGTTCAGACTTCTTTTTTTTTTTTTTTTTTTTTTTCTCACTTTGATTTGCTCAGTTTATGCTGAATTCTTTGAGTATGGTATTTCCTATTTGTTTTCTTCCTTTTCCCCACTCCCCTCCCTTTAGCTGTGCTCACACCTGTCAGTTTTTGTCCAGTATGTGCTTTGCCTGTGGTTTCTAATATTTGTGGGTTTGTGCTTCACAGCTTCTGTGTACCGAGAGACACTTTGCTTTGTAGGCACACTGATTTTACCTCTGGCTGCTGTCAAGGAGTTGCAAAGGTTCCTCTTCTGTGAATGTGAAAAGGGAACTTGTGAGCCTGCTGACCCTGCAGGGAACCCAGACAAGTAAAATTTGCAATATTATTCAGTTGTTCTAATTGCTTCTTTAAGAACCGTCCCTGCAGATGGTCATTGGCAGTATGTGCTTCATGGCTTCTCACCCAGAACTGGTGAAAGGAAAGTAGTTAACATCTACTTAGCTCCTTCAGCTTGTTCATAGAGCCCAAAGTTCTTTCTTGCTGCTGCTCAAGGAGATGGCATTCAATTTACTTTAATGCTACAGTAACAGCTGCTGTAGCAGTGGGAAGGAATTCGGTTTCCTCAGCAAGGCAGTTGGATTACTAAGTTACCTTAACCTGCTCTCACGTGCCTGTGCTTTGACACCAGGATATGCTCAGAAGACAGTATTTGCATCAGGCACTTCCCTGTATCTGAAGTTTTCAATGAAAAGACTGTTACAGGCTTTGGCCTAAGTTCTCCTTGCTGTGTAAATAAGTAATGAAAGTCAGGCAGTCCTGGCCAGCACCTGGATGTACATGGACTTCCAAATCATGTCTATCTTCTTTATGCAGTGATTCTACTTGAAATATAAGTTGAAATCTCACTTTATGTATCTTACAAAAATTCTTTTTGCAGCTGTGTGTTGTGAGCTTTGCAGGAGGAAGCTGAGGCATCAGGACTGCGCACAGCTGCTTTCCCAGCACCAGCTAAAGAGAAAGTCTTGGACATGGATCCCATATGACCTCAGGAGAAACTTTTTCATAGCTTCCAGCTTTGGCCCTCAGTGTGCAGGATTCCCCTGTGGAGCAGTACTGCATGTAAACTGACATCTTTATTAAAATGAAATGAGCAAACTCAAAGGAAAATTGGTCGTGATCACAGAAAGTTACTGGAGTAGGGTTAACCTGATTGCAATCAATAGAGCAGTGCCTGAACAATTCTTGATCAAAGAACACTTGTGGGCTGTGGTCCATAATGGTTTTCAGCTGTTGCCTGCCTCAGTCCACCTTACTACACCTTAGAGTCATTTGCCTTCTGCCTCCATCTGTGTTGTGGAGCTCTGCAGCCCAGAATGTCTGCTCTTCAGTACATTCAGGTTTGTTTTTACATTTCTACATTTAAAATATGTGGCAAATTATTCCTTCCCAATGGGTATTGTGTTTCATTATAGTCATCATCAAAGTTCTATTCCCTTCAGGTCAGGTGATATCAGTACTAGCAGAACCTTCTGCCTTCATTCTGGTGCTTTCACTTCCTCTCTTCTGCTAATGACCCAGGGACATGTTTTTTTGTCACTGATAGGTGGGTATTCAGAGGGTTTGCCTGGCTTTTGCTTTTAAGAACATAGTTTTGTAGGCATGCTTTTTTGTTTGTTTGTTTAAAAAGCAGTTCTTTTTCTTTGAGTACAAATAGAAGGAAGGTCCTGAGCTTTCAAGATACCGAAGATG